ATTAAATGAATTTGATCCAAGGAATATTAAATATCAATACCTTTTCGACGTGTTGTAGATATAATTTAGGAAACAATTGATTAAACTGTATCAGAGAAGCTGCCAAAACAGAAACAATTTATCGTTATTGATCGAATGGTTATCGACTATCAATCCAACATTGGCTGTTAAACTATTGTTGCAAAGAAACGATATAATAGCAAAACGAACTAAGGGAAAACTGTTAATAGCTTTCTGTAGTTTCAATGCCTCTGAATGGAAAACTGTAGATTTCAAAGCAGGTATAGTGAGCAAATTCGAAATTGAGAAAATTAATACAGATTTAGAAATATTAGCCCAAAAACTCGGAATAACGAATCCAGTACATGGTCTAACACGAGAGGAATCTTTACGAGAGCTAATAGTTGAACAAGGGGAAGAACTGGTAAATCAACTAGAGACCCAATACGATGAAACCACTGAATTAATAGAACAAGAATTATCAGAAGTTATGAAACGCTGGAAACTGATCACCTTTGGTATAATTGTTTTTGTAATATTAATCATGATAATTGTTATCAAACTAAAATTTGAATTAATTCAATCTCTTTATCATTCCTTTTATATTAGAACCTCAAATCGAAGGGTAGACAATTCTATGGAACTTGTACGGGTTCCTACACCCAAATTAGAGGATAAAATCCACCCAACACCATTCAATACCTTCCCATTGTTCTTTCTGTAAATAGTTTTCATCCCGTTTCCTCGGGAATGTCGGAAAACCGAAAGGAAATTAATTCAATTTTATAAAATAACAAATAATAAAGCTACCAACGATTTCCTGTTTCTCACACTAAAGCTACCAACGATTTCCTGTTTCTCATCACGCCCTTTTTTATCACCCTATATAATGACGGCAATGCTTTGGAAGGAAAAAATTTTGGGGCTTCTTCTTTTCTTTGCTTTTCTTTTCTTTTCGCCGTTCCGTTGTAAAAATGCTTAAAATGCTTATTTCAATGCTGTTATATTTTATCTTCTACTTGCCTATTCAAGGTTGCTCCAAATACCTCTTAAATTCAACCGTAATTCAACTGTAACGAATTTCGCCTAATATCAAATTATTTTTAATAAACAAAAATTCGAATTATTAGTGTTTGTTAATCGCAAATTAAAGTTTCACAACAGATATAGATGACATACCTTTTCTGCAAATGATATAGGGCAAGTATGACCAAATTCATCAAAGCAGAATGAATCGCATGATATACCTGTAAGAATCTTATAGCATTGCATTCAGACATCTTTTTTTCCATATTTATTTATACGCCATTTGTAATTGAAAAAGAAAAAGAAAATAATTTTCTCAAATTACCATTCCAGAACCAAAAGAATCATCATCGCTTATAATTGTTTTGTTCGGATCAGTCAATCGATTAATTATAGAATTCCTTGAATCATCTTCCACAAGAGACACGTCGGACCACTTACGAATATTTCTCAAAGCCTTCTCACGAAGTAACGATAAAAATGCAACCATGTCATTGGACAACTTTTTAATTAATGGACAAACTGCGACTGATAAAGTATCCAAATAAAAATCTATCGACATTTCTGATATTCCAGATTCTTTAATCATGGCAGTCCTAAAATATTTTCGATGAAGCAAACTAAGAAAAAACAATCACACTTACTATAAATTCTTGAAAGATATTATTCAAGCCCACTGCAAAATGGGTTGACCAATAATACAATAAAATATAAATTTTTCAAGAGAAATTGATAAATTAAATTAAAAGTTAAATTAACGAAAAAACTAACAAGATGAAATGAAAAAATCCACCGCAAAAATGAATAAGTTCCTTAACAAAATCCGTTGATAAATTAAGTTTCTTGAGTTCAGCCACCATAAGTAACAAGGCATCATACAGAACGAAATTGAAATCGGAAATTTCCGTGATAAATTCCTAAAAATTTTTGAAGCGATTCAATTTTGTATTATAATATAGCGAAATTTCCAATTTGAACTTATTATCAAGATTAATTTTATAAATTTTGAAAGATATACAAATAAAGCAACAAAAAAAATAAAGTGTATAGAGATTGATTTTGTAGCCTAAAAACACTTAAAAGCCAAGAGAGCCAAGAGACTTCCTTATGCAAGTGCAATGATGCTTTTTGCTGAAAACCATGCTGTGCTATACAATTTCTTTTTTTCCTAAGAGTCTATTACTGGTTAAACTCGCTCCGCTGGCTAGTTGCATTGGGCAAATATGCAAGGGAGTCCCTTGGCGATAAATAACTGGCACCATCCGGATTTTTGGGTAGATTTATTCCTGCGGGGAATCGGACCTCAGCAACAACCCGCTGAGCCATTCTATCCCGACTATATACAATTATAGGAGGTAAATAATTTTAAAAATTTTCTATTTTGTTCTATAGGGTAAATTTTACTGAGAAAGAAAAACTCCAAGAGAGTGCTCCGTAGCAAAAATATTAAGAACAAAATAGAAAATAAATACTTTCAAATACTAAATACTTTATATACAGCTAAATACTTTTATTTCTCTCCACAACCTCGTATCTAAAAAATAATGAGCTCTATTCTAACCTTAGAAATTTAGTACCAAAGACAATGATAGTGATAAAGGACAAATAAAATTTCGATCTAAGAGGAATTTGATACTTGATATAGAACTTACGCATTTTTTTAAGAGCCGGTAACTAATTCTGAGGTAAAGAGAAGGATTCAAAACATCATCCAACAAATTATCAGTTATATCTGGATGAAATTTCTGAAATACTGACCACAAAATTTATAAATTACCTGATTTTTTTCAATGAAATTTTCAGTTTTAAAAGAATAAATTAAATCAACTGATTTTACTACGGGAAAAAATACGGTTTGCGGAGAACGAATTCCACGAAAACTTCACTTTTATGTAATTTCTATAAGATATATCCATTAGGATAGGCTTGATACGAATGAAATGACAATAATAAGATAAATCGGCATTTTCTGACATAACTCGCATAAGAAATGATTTAGTAGGCTGAAAAAAATTTCAACGAAATTTTTTTCAAAATTCTAATGCATAATTTTGAATGGATGGACCATAAAAACAATCTTTAAAAATAAAAAGAAATTAATTTAAGAATAAAGAAAAAGAATTTAAGAATTTATGAATCAGAAATTAATTTGCTTATTATCATGTACTCTAGCAACAACTTTTTAATTAACAACAGAAAATGACTACGATTTAAATTTAAAATACATCATAGATTAAAAAATGGAAATAAATTTATAAAAATATTACCGGCAAAACATTGTTAATTCTGAGTTGCAATTCACACCAACTTGCTTTGAAGAAGAGCAATTTTACGAGCAATGAATAAAGTTCATCCCAATTTTCAAAATCGATTTTAACAATATTCCCAACCAAAGATGACCAATTAGATTCTTTGAAAAAATCTGAACAATTTTAAACCTTAGACCAAATATAATCTAAAAAATTATGAAAAAATATAAAATTGCGATATATACACTGTGAGCCATAATTACAAGATTTTAATGAAATTTATCTAACGCCTTAAAAATTTGGTTCCTGAAATGATTATTCAACCATATGAACATCATGGCGAAAAATTCAATAAACAACACTTAAATCGAAAAATTCTACATGAAATTCTGGAAATAAAAAATTAAAAATAAATATTCATACCACATTCTGAGTATTCACTAAATTCTTCTCGCAGATTCTTCTGTTTTCCCAAAAGAATTAGGTATAACGACTGCATGAGTATTCTAATTTTCCCATAAATCTGACCGCTAAAAAATTTTTTAATAATTAAGAACTTTTACAAAATTTTAAAATACGAATCACAAAAATTATCAACAAAAAATATTTTAAAAAAATCAATTAGTTAGAGAAAAACTTTTACCTTTTAAGATTATCAAGAACAATAGATGCAGCTTTACTTATAGCAATTTTAAGTTGATCAGATCCCAATAAATGAACAGCATGACTAAGAATCAAAAAATATGACGATGAAAGAGGCAAATTCACGTTCGAACTGCATCCTACTGATTCCAATAAACGAAGAATAACATGAAGAGACAATCTGGGTGATGTTAAACTAGAGGAAATTATTTTTTGACACAAATTATTCGCAGTTAGAGCACAGCAATCTCCTTTCATAACACGAAATAATTCATCGATTAACATAACCTGTAAGTTACTATCGGTTTTTGATGTTAATCCTCAACTTATCAAAAAATTTCGCTCTTACATATGGATTAACAAAAAACAAAATCCAAAAATAAATGAAAAAAATATGGAGGACTAATTCTATAAATGGTAAAAATCATACAGAGAACTAAATCATAATTTTCATAAATTAATCTTAGAAGCTTACTTAAAAGTGCAAAAGGATGATGAACTAATAAATAATTTAAAAGAATGGAAATATATATTTTTTCGAAAAAAAATTTATACCTTATAATTTTCGTTTATACATTGATTTTTTAACATATTTTTATATATCTGATTTACTAAAGAAAATAAATTTGGCTGAAAAAACATATCTTGATTTCCCACACAATACAACGAAATTATTTTAAACGAATCACCAGCAACATCTGACCAAACTATATATCTCAAGGAAAACTGCATTATAATTTTCAGGCATTTCTCACACTGATCCAAAATCTAAAATTCAACGAATATAAACGAAGAGCTTTCGAATCTCATATTTCCGAAAATTCTACTCATGAAAAAGTAAAGAACTTCCATGCTGAAGAATACGAACAAATGAAAGCAAACTTAAAATGAATTATCAAAAGACTTTAAAATGTGGCTAATAATTTTAATTTAATAATTTTTCCAAAAAATACAGTGGAATATGACATAAATCGGAATAAAATACCTTAGAAGAGGTTATGACACCAAAACTTGATCGATTTAATGCTAAAGCGGCTTCCTGCTGGTCCAAATAGGCCGGCACACTATTTAAAATATTTTCCAGCCAATCACCAACACCAATAGTTGGACCATCTAAAATTATAAAAAACTATAATATTCTTAAATAATTATATAGGATATCACCGCAGTTTGACATACTGCAGTGCTACAAAACTGCCGATTCACTAAAAACCGGAAAAAGAAAGCTTTATGAAAACTTTACCTAACTGAAATAATTAAATTATTTGCGAAATTTCATCATATTTACTTTCAATAAATTTTTTGTCTCATTGGCTTAATTCTAGATTTTTTAATTAGTTTATTATTTGGGAAAGTGAATAAACTTCCCAGAATCAGATGAAATAGATTTATTCACGACTGGTTCATGCAGATTCTTAGCATTTATTAATGAAATTTTAGCGATAATCCAAAGAACATCACAAATTTTCCTTCGCAAATCATCATTCAAAAATTGCACAGTTAAAGGGAGATATAAATTCAATAAATGTTCACCAAGTAAATAAACCATATTTATCTTATTTGCCAAAATCATCTAAAATCTTTTTAATCTATCTGAAAGCAATAATTATAAATGCATGAAAAACCAAAGCATAGCAAAGCATAGCAACCAGCACAGCCCTTTAATATACTATCATCATCTGAAATTATTTTCAAAAATTTGGGCATAAGTAAAAAATGAATTTTAGATCTAATAGTAGCTATTAAATAAATTTAACACAATAAAAAAAAAGCATGGAAATAATATGAATGAAAAATTAATGGAGGAATTTATCAACGATACCGAATTTTATCTAAAAATTGACTTCATCAATTCTTTTATTTAAAAAAAACTGACCTCAGTAATACATCGGCTGAGGAAATCAGTGGTCTGTAAATAGAATTCTACAGCATTATGTGAATATCGCATAAAATCTTTCATTTTCTTATGAATCTCCGAAATTGATGATATACACTGATTTGCCGCTTCAGATTTAAATTCATCTGGATCGCTACTAATCGCAATGCAACAAATTGCAAATACCAGTGAATTTGATAATCGTCCAAGAAAGTCAATAGAATCCTCATTTGTTTTACCAATATCTAATTCCATCAAACGACAAATTTCAGGAAATGAAGCAATAGCCGATAAAAAATCACTGAAAGTCAAAAAAAACGATTTCCACTGTTATCGGAAAAATAGCTATTGTTTCAGAACTTTTCATACTATAGCTATTGTTTCAGAATTTTTCATAATTTAGATAAAAATTTGGATAAAAAGTGACCAAACTACAAACTACTTGGCTCCCATGTTCCAAGTCATCCAAAGTGCAGAAATCTTATTGGCATCGCATTCGCTATAAATCAAAAGTAAATTCATTTCAAATCTATATAACTCATTTATTTCACTTTTCATTGTTTTTAAAAAAAATAAAAACCTGATTGAAATGTGGCAAGTATCAAAAGATGTAGAAATATTGAGTAAAAAATGCTCAAATTTCGATTCGAGAATTTCGATAAAACTTGGGGGCAACATGTATTTAACGATATCTTCTAATGTCGTTTTACTGAATAAATATAACCCGTTCATTTTTGGAAAATCGCTCTAAAAAAAATTCGCGAAAAAATAAAATAAACTAGAATCGGAAGAAAACCTTATAAAAAATTACGAAAAGATTCGCAAAAACTTTTTTTTTATAATATTAATTTAATTTAATTTAATTTTTTTAATTTTAATTTAATTTTTAATTTAATTTAATTAATTTAATTTTAATTTTTGAAGTTTTTTCAATTTGATAATAAAAAAAACTAAGAATGCGAAAAATACAGCGCGAAAAACTTCATCGATATGCGATTTGTCCGCGATTTCCACTGTTATCGGAAAAATTTGCTGGTTGCTTGAACTGGAACTCAGTGTATCAATGTAAGATTTTTGCAATGGACTACCACAAATGAAGCAGCTTATTATATCGACAATTTCTGTTGCACTATACTTCCGCCGCTCCATAAATATGATAAAACGCTTGATGAGAAACTGACAGGCATGGCTTGCCAAAATAAATTCATCACTCGCTCCTGGAGAAAAAACTATTTTATCAGAAAGAAAGCAATTTCCCCTTAGTTATTTTTAAAAATATCTCCATTAGCTTTTGTTTAAAAATTAACTTGATGGGATCAACCATTCATGAATTTCAACAACAGTGAAAAGTAAAGTAAAAAAAGTAAAAAAAGTTGGAAAGTAAAGAAAAAGCAGCTTGCCGGGCGATGTGCAAACGACGTGAGCAGCAAGCGGAACTGAGTCGTATTTCATCGACTGCGCTTCGTCTTCAACGACGAAATGCATGAGACTTATCAATTCATTACTCGTCCATGACTTCGCTGCATCTGACAAACTCCAACTCATCCTTCCTCACCTTAAAATAATTGAACGATAAAACTTTTAAGAACTGCACGCATGAGTTGTATGCATAATCGGTGTTCTTTCATAAGCACAACCGATGAAGCATTCGAATTCACCTGTAAGCATTCATAAACGCAGTTAAAAGTTGAGGATAAACTAATGCTTTCTTCAACAACATTGATAATTCTTCGCTTGGTTAACTCAATTGTGCGAGAAGAAATCAGTTAATATTCCAAAAATTATCAAGTTCCACTTTTACTCCATCTAAAGAACCCACAAAGTACCTTTCAGTGGAACAATAAATCATTCTGTCGCATATCTCACAGCTAAAATGAAGCTTCATCTTAACCTTATCGCATCTTTAACCACAAATCCCTCCCAACACTTCAAGATAAAAGAAATTCGACAATATACTCCTACAAACCTTACAACCAACCAGTCGCCTTCTTCATTCAACAGTCAACTAATTTGTAGCATATACGAACAGCCGACAATCCGATTTTTTAAAAGTCAGCCATCATCGATAAATAGTAAATTTTAGGTGGTGAATCGAAGTGGTATGAAATTGAAAAATGTCAGGATTCGGGGTGTCTTTATTGCCTTGGCAGGGAACCGATGTGTCCTCAAAACTGCCGAGCTGAAAATCCGAAATTTCTCATCGCAGCAACTACCAATGGATCAATAGAGCAATAAGAAATAGAGAAAGACAAGTTAAAGACTTTAAGTGATTTATAGAGTTGCAGAAAATCGCTGATAGTTGCAGTTTTCTTAAGATTTTTTAGCTGTTTCAGATTTATAAGCCATTTAAACTATTAAAATTACCAACGAATTATATTAAATCCTACTAATCCTCTTAAATTTCCTTCATTTTAAAAATTTTTAAAAGGTATTGTAGACTGAGACCGTACAGAGACCGCAGAAAGGAAAACAATATTAGTGGGCAGATCTATGCAAATGTAGATGTCTATCGAATCTTTCGGCTTTTCGCTCCGTTATATTAGTTTGGATTATTGTATTACTCTGGGAAGTTGAGGGTACTCTTGTTATCATATCGTCGTGTTGCCGTTCCATGCAGCATAAACGTCCGTATTACGATCTGTCCAGAACGTTAGGCTCGCACCAGCCCATATAATAATTATTTGGCGGTCGTGATAACGAATTGGCTGAATAGGAAAGGGGCGGTTGGTCAAATTCGTGGGCTTTTTTTCCATCTTCTTTTATTAGTCCGATAAACGACAGACACACAAATGTGGTTACGCTGCACAGTAATCTTGCGAAAGCTTGCTAGAAATGATGGCCCAGCAGCAGTGATTGCCAACAGAAGATCAGCAGCATCAACAGAAAATGAAAAATGAAAATGTTCGCAGAACTACTGCAACGGTCGAGAATTAAAACGGTACAGCAGATCTAGCTTTCCTTTAGCCATCCTTTAGCCATCGCTAGAGGCATCTCGATATTCCATTTTCGAATGAAAACCAAACATTTAGTACTTTGCGGATAATGACAGCTAGAAATATGTTTTCTAAGGTACACTTTACGGATCCATCGAGCTGATAAGATCGCACATGATTGTATCCATTTATCCATCTTCGCTCAAATACCACCTATATTAATAATGTTATCACAGATCGTCGCCTTCACTGGTTAAGATACGTTCTTCGTCGTCCACCACAGGAGTTGATGCATATTTCGTTACTTGCTAAATCCTCTGATGGTTGGCATCAAAAATGAGGAGGGCCAGTCCCTGTACTGACATGGTCAGAAAAAATTTTGAACGTACAGGGGAACCAGCGATATATGGACTTAGATGATGGAAAAAAGAATGGCTTATATTAGCTAGCTATGGCGTCGGTCCGAGTAGCTTGGAGACGTCTTATCCCTGTAGCCAGCGGAACCAGACCAACCACTAATGGTTAGTGCTGTTAGAAGTGCCCAGTCAGAATCCAGCTCGGTTAGGGCGGATCATGCCGTCCTGTGCTTCAATAAGTCTGTTGACTAGCCTCAGTATGTTGACGATGAACAATGCTTGATCTTCATTTGCAGACTCCATTCATCAAAGCATACTTTTCGTTTCAAGCTGCTGTACAAAGTCGAGCCGATTACTATGATTCATCAGTAAATTAAGGAATTCAACCGGCACATTAACCTATTGCACGATGATAAAATGATCGAAAGAGGAAGACGGAGACCATTCACGAAGTTAATCGTGAATCCGTAGGCAAACGTCCAAAACCAAGAACACCATGCTGGTTCTGTGGTAAAAAGTATTACATTAGAAATTATGATTATCGAAATGATAAACGCTCGGTATGCAAACAAAGGGGTCATAAATAACAGTAAAGGAAAAAGAGATATTTTCGAAATAAACGGAGAACAATAAATCAAGCCGAGGTAATTTGGATGTAAAATTGAAAAATCAGTGCTATAATGTTGTTTACATTAGTCAACAGTTTCGGGCATAGTAACTTTTAAACTGGATGCTGTTCGATGTTTGATATCAGCCTCTTATCCAGACAATTTTGAGAGGATATCGAATCAGCAAAACTGAAGAAACATTAAGAAATGTAAGCGATGTCAATGAGAATTCCAATTTCTTTTTAGTTTCCAAAGTAAAAAAATTTGTGGCACATGTTACATTATGAAAGGAATCGGTTTACCAGAAATTAGAAGTCTTAGTCTTTACGATATCATTAAAATTCTGCCGAACGCGATAGCCCATGACTTTGCCACAAATAGAAGTTAGTTAATAGAAATAGAATAGAAATTAGTCACTTGGAGTCATTAGGAAGTTATTTCGCAGGTATTGGCTAATGAGTTTCGCTTATTGTATCTGTAGAAAAGAGTCGTTGCATATCTGCGCAGATTTCTCAACCGGATTGAATAATGCTCTGGAATCATATAGTCATCCCACCCCTTTCCCTGAGGACATATTTACAATACTGAATGGCGTTTTCTCACAAATCGACCTTATAGATGCTTATCATCAAATTGAAGTGGATAAATCCAGGAATCTTAACAATAAATACATAATACATTCATAAAGAATTTTACAGCTACAACCGGCTTCCACTTGCGACGAAGTCCACTCTTATCGAAATTAGGCTTAGAGTAAATTCTTCAAAAAAACGCGTACTTTCATTTATGTTCGATCGTAGAATGCAGTAAAAGAGCACTTCGTAATTCTTCATCATCATCCTTTTTCAGTTCATAGTAGTAGGATTCAGCTTTCGTAAAATTTATTATTCTTCGAACTATTATTTATAGTTTTTCGTTCAAAGTTGAATTTCTTGATAAATTGAAAGCAGTTTTCTGAATGTTCGATAAGTGATAAATGAAATTGTTTAGTAGTGAAACTGCTTTTACATGACCGCTTGTTTAATGGTGAATTCACGAATTTTTGCCTATCAAATCAAGTTTTTATAGATTTTATAAATTTATAGGTTTTCGATTTTATTCTTCGACATTATTATGAAAAATGTTTGAAATCTGTGAAATAAACAGATTTAAAATCGTATCAAAATGTTTGAAATCTGTGAAATAAACAGATTTAAAATCGTATCAAATATCACGAAATTGTTCACTGCAAAAATTTTGATTATTATTATTTAGCAAAAAGAAATCTTTTTCAAAGGTCACTGATAAAGAAATGTTATTTCAGCTATAATAATTAATAATATGTTTAGTTTAGCTCATCCAATAAACTATAGTTGGTAATTCAGTATATTTTGTTTTTATGCGAGGAGCATTATATTAAGATAAGCAAAGTAGCAAGTGAGTGATGGCACGATGGAAATATTAGCAGTAATGTGCAGATCCAAGGACACACGTCTCAATAACCACGGAAACTCCCCGCATGAGCTAATTTTATTTCGTTGGATGATGATGGAAGAATCATTTCTAACGTACTCTATCGGATGGAGTCGCATTTAACAAAGTTCATTCGCTTGATTTGTCGTTTTCAAATCGTTGCCGCCATATTTAAATGAAATAAAACCAATTTATTATTCACTAATGAATGAATGGTCAAATTGAGTTGAACTGAGTTGAGCAACGACCCACTGAGCCATTCTCCATCGTTTCACTAATCGTAACAATTTTATTCCAGAATATAAAATTGCGTGGTTCGTGCTTGGTTGGTTCATTTGGTGCATCTGCCAATAATGAAACGAAAATAAGTCGATTTGGCTTATAGTAGAAAATTATTCCTCTCCATTAATGAAAGCTGAAAAATTCGTTGAAATTGCTCGTCTGAATTTTTTTTTAATTCTTTCTTCTTTAATTTCACTACAATATTTTGGCCTTCCCGAAGCGAACTTGCTTATGAGTTATGAGTTACAAATATATACTGCTGTAATATACTATATCCGAATGAAATTAAATATCTGTGAAACTGTATTAAGATCCAGGGTTTGCGAAACTTCGCAGGCAATCCATAGTTCCTTGAGAAATACTTAATGAAACATTTCCATGAATTAATTAATATTATAATATTCTTACGGAAAATTACTCTTTACCTAAGAAAAATCTTCACTTCGATTCACCACTCATTTAAATATCTTCAAATTTTAAAACTAAACCACGTCAACAATAGGAATATTTTCCTTAAAGGTTTGGACAGAAAAAATAACTTGCTACTTCCTAGTTTCCTGGAATTCTGTTAGTTATGAATATTTATTTATTTATTTATTTATTTATTGATAACCAACCAAGCAGGGCGACAAGGCCATGTGCTTGTATTAATAATAACAATTAAGATAACAGAAAAAGAAAACACAAAACAAAAAAAAAAAAAATATATAACATAAACAAAATTAATTATAAAACAATATGACAGAAATTAACAATTTAAAGAGGAAATTACAGATCAATATAATATAGTACAATTCGAAGTAACATATATAAAACCTGAAGATAAAATCGAGATTTCTCACTTCCTGCAGTTCTTGCCTGGTGTAAACTCTTCTTTTTTTTTTTTTGTTTTTAAATAATATCGTAAATGATATTATCTAGTCTTTTTTTAAAGACAGCTAGGGATGACGCACAAGCTACATCGTTCGGTAATTTGTTCCAGTAGTTAATAGTACGAATAAAGAAGTCATGAGTCCTTAGTTTAGTTTTGCATATAGGTTTTAGTAATTTTAAGCCATTAGTTCTTGTTGGATTCAAATTTAGTCGAAAGTTATAATATTTCGAGCAATCTAGTTTAACATAACCATACAGAATCTTATATGTGTAAATTAAATCTTGTTTAATTCTACGAACTGAGAGAGAATCCATGTTATGTTGTAGAAGTGTTCTTTTATAATTAAAATTATAATTTTTATTAGGAGAGAGGCGTTTTAGAAAATATTTTTGGAGTCCTTCGATTATTTTGTCTGTTTTGCGATGTCTAGGGGAGTAACATATAGTATTGTAGTCAAGAAGAGGCCGAACGAATGCTTTGTATAATTTGATAAGAAAACTTTCAGTTTTGTTCTTAAACGAACGAAAAATAAAATTTAGTATCTTTGAGGATTTCTTTACTATGGTTCTCCAGTGAAGATCGAAATCGAGATTTTCATCCATGATTATTCCAAGATCGGAGATGTGTGAGACTCTATTGATTAAATTACCATTTATAAAAAGGTTAGGAAGATCAAATCCTTTAGAGTTGATGTGAAGAACGCTACATTTTTGAAAGGAAAGGGTAATTTGTCTGTCGTATAGCCAGTCAGCTATTCTGTTGAGGTCCTCCTGCAGTGGAGATAGGCTATCCGTTCTACCATGAGAATAATAAATTTTACAGTCATCAGCATAAAGATAAATAGTAGAATTTATTACCACTGTGGTGATATCATTTATATATAATAGAAATAGCAATGGCGCAATACAACTGCCTTGGGGAACGCCTGATTTAACAGGTGTCATGTCAGAAAGAGTGTTGTTAACATATACAGCCTGGTAACGATCTTTTATAATCTGAAACCCAGTTATAAAGGTCCCCTGTTATGCCATAACTATTAAGAGTGACCAATAATTTGCTATGGGAAACAGTATCAAAAGCCTTAGCCAAATCTAGGTACACAACTGATACTATTTTTCCATTGTCAATTGATGCTGACCAATCAGAGAGATTTGCCAATATTTGTGAAGAAGTAGATTTTTTTGTACAAAAGCCATGTTGATAAGAAGATATAAAATTATTGGCATCAAGATAAGTAAGCAATTTGTTGCAAATCAACCTTTCAAGTACCTTGCTACCAACACATGTTAGGCTAATAGGTCTATAATTAGAAGCGTCATAGGTGCTTCCTTTTTTATGAATGGGAACTATATGGGACAATTTCCAAATTTTGGGATTAAGGCCAGACTTCATAATATCTTTATAAATTAAAAATAGGGGAAGACTCAGAGAGACTGCGCATTTTTTATAAATTATTTGTGGAATGTTATCGGGACCAGCTGAAATGGACGGCTTAAGTCTATTTAAGGCATCATAAACATCCAGTAGTGTTATTTCAATCTCGCAGAGAGAAGTGCAACAAATTCGATTTACGTTAAAACAGGAAGTATGAGTATTATCTTCAATAAACACACTAGAAAAATACTGATTAAATACATTTGCAATATCAATATCAGAGGTGATCACATTATGTTGCAGAATTAATTGTTTACGTGGATTTGCAAATTTTTTTTTGATATAGGTCCAGAAAGAATTTCTATCAATATTTAAAAGTTGTTCTTCTTTATTTGAAAAGTAATTATGAATGGCGCTACGGAAACTTTTTAAGCATTCTTTATATGCATTCTTTATATGCAATATAGAGGTACAAACCACAGTAACATATAAACCGTAGATTCAGAGACAAGTAGCGTTCGACTTCATTAAAAATCAAAATGATGCCAGCGGATCGACCTGTACTTCTTCGCCAAATGAATCCCTTTCTGGTCCTTAACAGCAGCTGAATAAAAGGAAAAGTATTTGAAGTAGAAAATCAATTTTACCCTTTATGGCACTATTCTAGTCGCCCTATATGACGCACTTTGCATTAAAATTTTATTTATTGTAGCGACTTTGCTCTACTAAAGCAGCATTTATCGCTCTTGTCACGACCATTTCGTTTGACTCCACTAATTACTACGACGAAAACTTTTCGTCACTTGGATAGTACCATTTAAGGTTTTAAGGTTCATTTAAGGCTAATAGAAAGGAACGACTTTAAACGAGAATTACTTTCTAAAAAGAAAAAGGAAAGATAAAAAACTTAAAAATTAAAAAATTTTTGAATACATTTGGAAATAAAACAATTTTCGTAAACTTCTGATAAGCGCACTGACCTAAATTATCTGTTAATCTTTCCTTATTTTATCTTTTTCTTTATCTTTATCTTATCATTTGTCTAACACCATTCATATGTTTGTTGTCTATAGCGAATCAGAAAGGAAAAATCTTTTAGCTTCAATTTATGTGAATCAAATCAATGTAACTTAATAATATTATTTGCTGAAAAATCTATTTCAGTTTATATATTATTTATTATACCTAAATTGTTATAAATAAATAAATTTCCACATGTATTTATCAAAATAATTATAATTTCTCATTTTTATGAATAAATGAACATTTTTAAAAAGAATAAGTTCTGGCTCACTATTTCTATTTCACTCTCTATTCACTATTTCTAATTCATTTTAATGGTTACTAGAATGATGACTTTCACCAGATGGACACTTGAGAAAAGCAATACAGGTGCTCTTTTCATAAAAATTTACTATCGCCAAGAGACAAGAACCGAATACGTGACGTCTGATCTCTGTTGGATCGACACACCAATTGACCATCATCCTTTTATCCATCCACTATTCACACTTCAATTCATGATTTTTTTTTTTAAGAGTCCTCACCATTACTGGTTAAACTCGCTCCACTGGCTTATCGCATTGGGTAATATGCCAGCGAGTTCCTTTGTGATAGAAATACAGATGAGTCGCCAGCATCACCCGTATTTTTATACAGGTTTACTCCTGCAGGGAATTGGACCTCAGCAACGGCACCCTCAATCGAGCAACAACCCACTGAGCCATTCTATCCAATTTACTGATTACTCAAATATTATGCTTTAAAATCGTAACTGGTTGCACTGGTAGGATAAGGCGGGTAAAATTTATTTTAATATGTATTTATTTTAATACTCACTGTGAACTAGAATTAGGATAAGCGAAAGGATTGTCCCGGATTACCGCACAAAGAGACGATTCGAATTCTGTATGACCTCTCGTTGAAAAATTCGAATGATGCTAACGGTGTCTCCATAGCTAAAAATTTTAACCGCAGGAACAATCAGCAGATTTGAGTGATTATCACTTATATTTCACTTAAATTTCATTCCGAAAATACACAAAATAGTGAATTTTTTCCAGAAGAGTCTGTGATCAAATCAGAGAGAAAACCAAATGTTTCGTATTTCATTTGATTTTTTCCCAATTCTCCAAAATTTGGTATGAATCACTTTTTCCGGCTGGTTGCCAGTTTTTCAATATTTAAATGGTGGATTATTTCATGCTTTTCTGTTTCTTTATCATAAGGATGGATATTTGCCGATTTTGTTTACTTTTCATGAATATCTTCACTTCGCCGTATGAACAAATTTTTCATTATCACAATTTTTTACAAATCTGGAAAATTCCATGAAGGAGGCTCATTGCGCAAATATAAGTTACACAATATCGCGCAAAAAATTCACAACCAATAGAAGAATCTGAAAGGACACAAAAATAATCTGAAAATAAACGTTCTCAAAGAACAATCGGACTATGCAAATCACAAGAGAAGCAAGAGATGATTACCCTGTCATCTGATCATTAGTATTATATTTCTTTTTTCATTTCTCATTTTCTTTCAAATTTACATCCTTAAAAATTTTCGTCCCGTCAGAACATGGCAAATTTTTGCCCCTTTGTAACAGAAGTATCGTCAGTATAAATAATAGGCTTGTTCTTGTACAAGGCAAAATCCAAGTCTTAGCGCTCGAGGCGATAATCTGGGTCACAGTTGATCTGACGCACATACTAAATCCAGTCAATCCGTTTACGATTTATGCCATATCGTTGCGATTCTAATGTGCGCTTTATTCAGTTTTTTCCAAATTTGATAAGAAAATAATATTTCACATTTTGGTAGTCACCTGCCATTTTATTTTTATCGGATAGAAAGGAAGATTCAACAGAAAACTATTTTTAATTTGTTTTGTGTTTATAAACTAATATTAAGACCAAAAGGATGGAACAACTATTTACACTGATCGAATATCACAAGTTTGGTTAGTACCGCTTGATAAGAGTAGACCCGCGGGTGAAAGTGGAATCACGATAGTGCTGTTCTCCTTCTATGTAATTTATTTTTACCGAACAGGAAATTGACTTGTTAATTATACTAATCGATGAAGCCAGCCAAACTGAAAGCATCCTGCATTTATCAATTGAGAGAAAAGACTCTAAGATGTAAACGCTGAAAACTGGGCAAAAAATGATAATTGGAATCATAAAATGACCATTCAAGATGTTCTAATTCACGTTTGCAAGAGATAAATAGCGAAATTCCCATGGTCAAATCCACACGCTCAAAGGCACCTGTCGGCACCAAGGACCAACCCACCTACACTCCAAACTTTCCCCAAATTCCTCTCGACCAAAAAAATCTTCTATCACCGGACGTAGAATGCCTTCAACAGAAGATCGAAGACAGACTAAAAGTCAGATTGGGAGAATTTTGCTAACAATCGGCGCAGATTGTTTAAAATGGACTTAATTATTGAGCTATTGATTATTATGAATTTGCTGAAATATTTTATAATTTGGAGATGTATAAGGTCGTTGAGGGGTGAAAAATTAGCAAAAAAAGATGGGTTCGTTAATGAACGACTCTGCTCGACTCTTCGCTATAAGCATTCAGAAATTCAGAAATTGGCAAAGTCCTTTATGCAAGCACTTCTTCAAACACCATTTACCAGCTTCGTTCCGACTGACATTAATCGCTGGCAGAAGAATCGGTGAACTTCAGCAGCCGTTCCGTCCGGACCCCAAATGACCTACGAGGCCTACGGATCGCTTTCATGATCATCATATTTTTTTATAGGGGCACTTATCATTTCAAGCTTACTTAACTCCAAATTAAAGACCCCTTAGTGTGGGGTTCATTTTATGCTTAAAGTGCTTTTTTACATTTCTAAAATGTTTTGAGCTGAATTTTTAAATCTTGTCCTTTTTTTTCTTTTTTTCCTTTTTTTCTTATCCTTTGGCGGTGACTCGTAGGGACATTTTAACTCTGACGCTTGACCCGCTATAAGCGAAAAGAAATCAAACCTATGATATTTGATCACAGTGGAAGCAACAAGGCATTAGAATTATGTCATTTAAATAAAAATTCATGTGGCGAAAGCCTCAGTCATTGGGATTTCTTGGCTAAGATTTAGGCTTATTTCTTGACTTTAAGATTCAGGTTTTCTTTTCAGGAAAGTATCGCAAAACCCCCACATTTCAATACATGGACGATAGTACATGGTGAGACAATGGAAACTGATTCACAAGGTTAGAAATTCTTCAGTTTTATCCGAGGATTTCCATGATTAGAGCTGCGATTTCCTTGCATTTCCTTGCATGGAACACGAAGAAAATTATAAAAATTTTCACCTTATCTACAGTGGTTATTTTTCTTTCGTTTTGTGGATGAGTTTCGAAATATTGGTTGGCTGCGAACTGCTGTTTTTTGCCGATTTCAACTCCAAGAGCTTCATTCACTGGATATTGTCCGAGATTTTGCGAATATTTCGAAAATGTTGGCCAGATGTAAGTGCCGAACGACGAGAGTAAAAGCCTTTTGGGATTGGCTGTTCTTCTTGGGCTTCTTTTTATTCCTTCAAAATTTTTATATTATATTTTATATTCTTTTTCTTCACTGATTCTTTGGAGGCGACTCGTCGAGCTTTTGTTGTGTATGATTATTTTGAATTATTATTCTTGTCTTATCAGCCACTTTTTCATTAATTCTTGTTGTTGATAGGTTGTTTATTGCCAATTTATTCGCTGGTTCGAATCCAATTTCTCGATTTGCAATCTTATAATAACTTCTGCTGTCGTCGTTCTGCAACTCGACGAAAGTTATTGCATCGGTGGCTTAGTGGTGAAAAGATGCTTGTTAACGAGGTGGATTCTGGTTTGAATATTGGCAAAGATATTGAAACAAAAGGATTCAAATAATATTAAGACGACGGCACCAAGAGTGAGGCAAGAAAAGCTGGACGAAAGCCAGTGGAAAAAGGAGAAAGGGAGAAACTGAAAACTGATAGATAGCATTTCTCAACTGCTCGAGAATGTGTAAAAACCCATTGGATAAAGCCTAACAACTTTTCCTTTCAGCGATAGATGTTAGCTTTAAGATCTTTTGCTCGCTTTTGCTTGTTACCAGTTCTGCAGCTATTCTCCTGCAGCCAGTGGAGCTCAGCTCAGCTGGATAATAATGATAGGGGCTATTAAACGAAAAAGAATACCAAAATTGAGGTGAAATATTAATTTTTGTTGAAAGGCTATATCGAATTTGAATCTGAATAGGTATTTGGGCACTTTCCTGGTTCATTTGCGTGGAATGATTTAAAGATAAGAAGAGTTTATCTCAAATATTATACTTTTTAATCAATATTAAGAATTCGATATCTTGCAACAAGCAAATGGTTTTAAAGAATCCGCCATATATTATCTTATTAATTATATTCTTTTTATCTTTTAATCTGCAGAAATAATAAGCAATGACATTCGTTTTCAGCTCAATTGGTATTAGAACCAGATGAACTGAAAACTTTCGAATATGCTTCAGTACGAGTTCCATGTGAGAAACTAAATGCTGCTTTTCGCAGTCATCATTTATTAATTGGCAAACATATACATGAGATTGATAATGTTACCAAAAAGCTAAAAGAGGAATTCAGATCTAGTTCAAATCCTGATGCCGTTCCTTTATTAAAAGTTTCTTTTTTACTTCTCCTCCACTTTATTTTTTTAATATGTAATTGTTTCATTGCTAAAAATATGTAGGATAGGCTTTTTCTCATTTTTCAAATATTTCTGCTTATGCTAGGAAATTTTCTCGAAATGCAATGAAATTCTTTTCAGCTTAATTTTTCTTTACACCTTCTGCTGGGGTAGAATGCTCTTATTTTGGAGTATTAATGTCTAGTCTGGACAAGAATAAACTTTTATTTCGAAAATCCGGAAAGTATTGACATTTGTACTCGCCAAATGATCCTTTGTCTTAAGCCAGCGAAATAAGTCTAACCAAAAATGGTGAGTGCTATTAGAAAAAAAATCTTCCTTTGCAGATAAAAAGCAAATGTAAGCGATTGCTAGCGGCTCTTGATGACCTTGAAAAAAGTTTTGATAAGGCTGCAAGAAAAGAACGAGAAATTGCAAACTGGTTTAAAAGAAGACTGGATTATCTCGAGTTGGCATGTCTTTGCATTTGATATTTTTATAAAATCAATCAAATACTAATGTTTGAATTATCATTCAAATTTAGAAATTGTAGAGTAAATCTAATAATTTGAATAAGAACGCCGAATGGGCCGAACAACGCTTTAATCGTATAATTGTGGATTATTTATCGCGGTCAGGATATATAGCGACGGCTAAAAAACTGGCTGAACAGTGTGGAATAGAAATGATGTGTAATATATCTATATTCGAGAATGCAAAGAAAGTAAGAAAATGCGAAGAAATGTTCCACATAAATCGTAAAATAAAAATGGGAATAAAAAATAAATTTTTAAGTGGAAAACTGTTCTGACGAAATTAAATTTCTAAAATTCCAATTTTTACCTTATATCTAAGTTCCAATTTCCGTGAATCAATTGAGATTATGGCCTTTGCTGACTTTGATCTGTATGTTCTGCATTGAATGTTAAACTTTAGAAATTTAATACTTTGGAGAAATTTGCATTTCAGGTGGAAGAAAGTATTAAAAGGCATGAAACTGGTGAACTTATCAATTGGATAATGAACAATCGATCGCGGCTACGTCGATTGCGAAGCACTTTAGAATTGCAAGCTCGTATGCAAGAATGTATTGAAATGGTTAAACAAGGTAAAACTCCATCCATCTTGGATATTATTTTATGAAGTTTGGATTAAGACGACTCATTTTTAAGTGGCTTTCATTTATAAAATTATATATGGTTAACCATAGTTTCATTTATAATCATTTTTTTTATTCGATTTTTTCTACTCTAGGTCGAAGGATGCATGCTGTTATTTATTCAAAAACATATTTCCGTAAGTTACCGGCTGAGTTATGGACCAGTCAGCTTATTCAGGTTTAATTTTATTATACAACATGATTTGCTTATTTTAAATAGGTCCTCAATACCACCCAGATTGTTCTGATAGGTTTGTTTTCCTCTATCAGTGGTAGGATGCAAATTTTGATATAATATTTTTTATCGTTGGCAAAATTCCCAAAAAAAAGAAAGCAAATAGGTTTGTATAAACCAACTGTGAAAGTAACTTTTTTTTATTATAAATATTTTGGATTATTTTCCAATATGCTTTCACGTACCGGGTGATTCATTGCATCCGCTGAATATATACATTTATAATTTATATTTACCTTAAAGCCTTACTGATGTTTAGGATGAAAAATTGTTAGTCTTCCGAGTAATTATTTTATTTTTGATAGCATTTGATGGCATTCGATTTCTTCGATATATTATATTTAATGAGCTTTTTCATTTTGGTTCAATGCTAAGAGATTGTCAAGAGATTGTCAAGAGATTGTTATTTTGCAGTTCGATAAGCAAAATCACTTATATCACATACATCATTTATTTGTTATTTTTTTGGTTTTTTTTAGCTTATGGGTTTTATCGGTTTTGGAATGCAAATGGCAGATACGTACCAGAATTTTCTAAGTGAAGATAGGTGGGACTTTCTATTAACTCAGTTTCAGCAAGAAAATGCTCGAGTTTTCCAGGTTAACAACATTTTTTAGTTCATTATTATTATTCATTTTATTATTATTTTCAAAATCTTGATAAAATTCTATTGATAAGAATAGTGTTTTAAAGGATATGGAGTGAGTGGAGTAATCAGAATAATTTCAGCTTTATTTGGAAGCAGTTATCAAAATTATTAGATTTTTTTTCAGATTGAGAATAGCAAATTATTTAATGCTTGCTTTTGCATGGGTGCTTCATCACTGAGGTCTCCATTTTGTAAACCACATCATGATGCTCAGTGTATAACATGTTTGCCTCATATTTATAGTGAAACCTATGATCTTCCTTATGCTGAAGCAAAAAAAACCGAGTGTGCTTTAAAAATTTTCCTCAACTTCAAATTATTACTTTTTGTTTTTGTTTTTATTTTCGTCAGCTTTATGAAGCAAAATAATTTGCCTGTTTCCTCTTCGTTTCTAATCAATTGCAGATTGATATGTCAACATTGCAATGATATAATTGATGAAAATAATCCGGCATTTATGTTACCGAATGGTTATTGTTACTGTGAAAAAAGTGTAGAACAGCTGAAAAAAGATAATTCTATCAAATGTCCGAAAACAGATCAAGTTTATCAAATGAGTACTGTCGTTCCCGTTTTTACGCTCGTCTAATGTTACATCCTCTGATAATCTGTGATGTATTTTCACAGTTTAGTTATATTTTACATTGATAAATTGATAAATTTTGTTGGATTGGTTAATGCGGAATTTTTGATTCTTTTTTTTGGATTTTTTCATCTTGTTTTTATTTTTAAATTCTTTTTTCATCTTTTGAAAGCATAGAGAGCATGAAATTGATATTTTTTAAACTCATTGAGCTTCTGATGAAAATTCATGAAATTTTCGTAGAATTATTTCGTAATCGTAAATCGTAAATTTTCATGAAATTATTATTTGTAAAGCACCCATCGTCTCTCTATTTTGCTACAAGTATATTTCATTCATTCAGTTATTTTAGGCGAATCATTTTTAATTGAATATAAATGTAAATTATTTTTATCATAAATGTGCCTTAAATTTTAATTGATAAATGTTTAACTATTCATTGAATCAAGTGTTTGAATGATTGGCTTTCTTTATGATTTATATGGAGATCTTGTGTTAATAAAATATTAATAATATTAATAAAATAAAGATAAAATATTCATGGTAGTGTTGGCTAAAAAGCTGCGTGGTTGTTTGCCTTTTTTTTGCAAGCTAGGAATCTCGCGTAATGTTATATTTAATTAAAAACAGCGTTTCCAGACATCTTCATTTCCATTTAATACGTGGGTCCCTATCGCGAAATCTCACCTTCATTTTTTGTCCTGATCGTCAGTAATGTCCTCTTAAATCTTTCCAATGTTACTCCTTGTTTCGTTATTTCCTCTTTGAGCTCCAGCATAAAATCGCAAAGGCATGATTAGAATTTTTGATGAAAAGTAAAAAGAATTGTGAATATTAAAGGAGAACAGAGGAGATCGCCAAGCAGTTATGAAAACTTGTTTCCAGTCATTACTGAGAAATTGCTTTCATGATATTTGACCTGGAAAGAATACGGAATAGGCTATCCTACTCTTCGTATATAAGATTTACGTAAAGCATTGTTCTATTATCGTTCTATTATCAAAGTTCTATTATTAATGATTGACAAGGTTTTCAGATGCACTAGTATGCCACTCTCATTTTATGGATTACTAGAAGCGAGTCTTTTGATGCTTAATGGTATTGCTGTTTTGAATCGTGAGAGATTCTTGAAAAAGGTTTTTTCATTTTCATCCTTAAGTCATATGTATAGGAGTTTCTGAATCGAAATTTCTTCGGCTCATTGATATATTTGCTCAGCAAATAAGATAGCAAATAGATTTCATATGTGGGTTCATGGGGTAAATCTGAAGGTATATACTGGACACTTATAACCTTATATTTAAATATGTCGTAACCTGATTTTATCATAATGCCAAGTTATAGGCTCAATTAATAAATAATGTTACAAACAAATAACACATACTTATTATTAACTAAGGATTCTAGTAGTAGCCAATGGACCCAGTCAAATATGAAATAATCGGAGCTGTTAGGAAAAGAATCCCTTAGAGATTGAGAATATATATGTTTGCATTCATTCCCATTAATCGATCATATTTTAGATTGGATTTGTATCACCATCTTCTTTTGATGTATCGAACAACTCTTCTATAAAAATGCAGCTCATAAATGTTATTACTGCTATCCAAACTGTTATGAGGAGTAGGTTTTTGGCAGATATTTTCAAAATTAAATTACAAAAAAGGATGGTTTCGATTTTATTTCTTGCTTTTAACTAGCTTGCTACTTTTTTCGATAGTTTTTTAATATTTAATATTTTAATATTTAAAAAGAAAATTTCAGCTTATTTTCACGAGATTTTTTTCAGTTCCACTGATTGCAATAAATATTCTCGTGATTTTATTCAAATTATTGGTTGGATAGAAAAATTGCTATTTTTAACAAATTGTTTGCGATTATTTTCGAGCAATAATAAAATTTTTTTAATTTTTGTGATTTCAAATTCACTTTTTGGCATTTAAATTTTTCCTCAATAGTCCAGCAGCACTACAAGCAAATAATTTGCCTTTGTTCTCGGTGAACACCCTCCTTTATATCCTCTTTTATTCATCAATGTAATCTATTTCATAAGTCATTTTTAGAATAAAATTAGGATAATGCTAATGCAGAATGTGAGAACTGTTAGTCAGAACGAAGTTTAAGGACTGCGCTGGAAAGCATTTATAGACATTAATTTCTCCCTTTAATTTAACCAATGTTTAGGCTTTCAAAGCACAAGGCCCCTTTCCAGTTTGTCGTTTCAGTGGCGGCACGGAAGACTGATACTGGTTCTTTTGATTAAGACCAGTCGTAACAGGTGTTCTATTTCGACTCAGTGGAAGTAAATCCGTCTTTAAAAGCGAAATTGATAATAATGCAAAGGATGCACCTATATTTTTATTCCCAAGCGATTTTTCGGTGAAACCAGTTTCGGCTTAATAGTTAATGAAGCCAGCCAAATATGAAAAGAAATTCGATTAGAGTGCTGTTAGAAGAAGGACGGCGTGAACTGTGAACTGTACTACCAGTTCTCGACTGTAAGTTCTTGATGGTGTTGGGCACATTAACAGACCCAACTTCTAATACTACTGGCATTTCAAAGAAGAACTGAATCAAATAAAACTAGTAATTTCAAATTTCATCTGAATAAATGACCGCTGAATATGCTTCGTGATTCCACTCAATGAAATGTACAAAAAATTTGGAAGGATCCAGAAACTGAATAAAAGGGAAAACAACAAGTCGGCCCAACCAGGAAGAACTAAAAAGAAAGAGAAAGAGTGAGGGCAAAAGACAACAAGCTGAGCAAGAATTACCGCTTCCTCTGGAGTCCAATTGTGACGAAACCATTTGACGATTTCATCGAAGTTTTACGGGAGTGAAACTTTGGTAGCGATTTGGCCTTCCCTGTTAGAAATGTCCGGGCAGCGATAAAATTTTCTAGGAACTATTTCTGACAAACAAATTCTCAACATACTTCATTATTCTCCAATATGGGCTAACGGATTAAAACAAAAAATAAAACCGAATTTTAAAACGCATCCGAAATCTCTATTTAGCGGCTCTAAAAGATGGATTTATTACTAAAAGTCATGCGAGCCACCTAGATTTGCGTTGATCACAAGAAAAAGAATTTCATGAAGACTTTTTTTATTGGCTTATATTATTTGATCCAGTCTATTCATCAATCTAATTATGGCTATTAAGTGGTCGAAGTTGATTGTCTGGGATTTCGGTCGGATATTTGCTAGGAGCTCTATGCATACGAACCTATGTCTTAGCAAAGGACGCGCAATGAATCCATTTTACGATATTCACAAAAAGCAGAGTGACCCGAAACGCCAAGATCCAGAATATTTTGAGAAAGCTGCTGAAGCTCTCCCCCTCGGTTTCTTTTGTTTTCACTCTTTTTGCTCGCACTTTTTCTTCATTGAACTGTGTTCACTCTTTCTGACTTGGTCAGTTGCACTGGCCATTAAGATTAGATGTCAGACGAGCCAGTTCACCACTCAACCGTTCTCTCCTCCATTCGATTTTTGCTGATTTTTTTCTGCTTTTTCTTCCCTCCGTATTACTGTTTTGATAAATTCTAGACGACTTTTATATCGATGCGCTTGGAAATTTATATGAAGAAAAGATAAGTTCCGAAAGAGATATAAATATGCGAGGTGATGATAAAATGATTGGTAAGGATTCAAGTGAATGGCTTCCGGCAATCGATTTAAATGATCCGCGGCTTGCGTATCGGCAAGTCGACGCATTGCGCAATGCGCCTGATTCCGTGAAAAAGATATTCAGGTCTTTTTATTTTCTCATATGCATTATATTTTTTATATTGCTTGTGGTAACGAGAAGAGAACAATCGGGCAGTCTGCACTTCTTCCATAGTTTAATTTTAGCTGCTTCTTGTTGAGTGATCAGTGATCACGCACATACATACTGGCATGCACAACAGGCAAACAGGTTGGTATGGGTGAATAGAACTTAGGACGCTTAGGACCTTTGTCCCTTTATTTACAAGTGGTAGAGGAAGTATCACGGCAAGGCAAGATTGCTCATAGGACGTACCATCGGTAAATAGCCAAGGTGGATGATATTGAGGAATACTGTCATTGGCTAGAAAAAGTTAGCACTGTAGATAGATAGCACTGAGGCATTCATCATAGCAGGTACCAAGCGCAAGGTCTACCGAAGTAGGGTTTAGGCTTAAGGTACAGATTACAAGAAACTCTGAGAAACACATAGTGACAGGATGTAAATAGAAACAGCATATACATATGCTGTATATGCATAATTAAGCTGGCATTTCTGAAGGATTGTCTTTGACGTTTCCAAGATTAGTTAGGAGATTCCACGGAAAATCGTGGAGAATAACAGGGCTAAGATTCTGTGGGACTTCTCCAAGCCAAATCTAGCTAAACAATCAAATGCTTGTACTCAACAGATATGCTTGTCCCTCAACCAGATATTGTGGTAGTAGACATGAACCAAAAAGCAGCCCTGGTGATAGATATAGCAATACCAAGTGACAGGAATATCAAGAAGAAGGAATAAGATAAGCTGAAGAAATGTCAGTGGCTGAAAGAGGAGCTAGAGAAAATGTGGAAAGTGAAGGTCAAATTAATCCTAATAGTGATAGGAGCATTAGGGGTTGTAAGCCCTAAACTAAACCAAAAATGTGGCTCCAGGAGATTCCAGGAACACCAGGAAAGCGCATAAACAGAAATAGCGCATAAACAGCTAGATTCTGCGCCAAATCCTCAAGGTCTCAGGCCTCTGGTAGAAAACCCAAGATTGAAGATGGCTCATACCACTCACGAGGACTAGTAGAGGATTTTTTATGCATTATTTTTTTACATATTATATTTTATTATATTAATATTTTTTTAACTTTTTCACCGATTATCTTCTATTTTAAAATTTGGTCAATTTTGACGTATGAAATTGAAAATGATTTATTAGTACAAATTTTCTACGAATATTAATGAAGAATTTAGCGTAAAATATGGAACACGTCGTGATAGGACGGATGCATGGAGATCAGCGCTTATTGAGAAAGTAAAGCATCACGATCTTGATAAAAGTTCAATTGAAACGAAAAGTTTGTTTTTTTTTTCATTATTAATTTTTATTTTCAATTTTGTTAAGATTTCAAAATCAACGAATTATGACAACGATTCATACAAGAAATTCATTCCTTTTCCGAATTGAAATATTTTTTCAACCAATTTTTATTTTTTTTTTTTGTAATTTCTATCATAGCTGTTTATTGATGTACATTATTGATGTACCTAAGTCAGAGAAAATTTTGAACGAACCATTAAAAATCTTTCGAGTTCTTTTGTTAATTTTTGATGCTTTCTTCACCGCTTATTAATAATTTATAGTGTTTCAGTTGCCTTGCTGACATCGAGTATTCGTCAGTGGTGTTTACTTTTGGATGAAATTAATAACAAGCCAAGAGTGTGTTTTAAAAATTTTCCAATTTAAGTTTTTAATGGTTCTTATCGGTGTTTTATTTTTGGTACTTTTATCATTTATCCATTTAGTTAATTTCGTTTTTTTTCAATTTTTACCCTATATAAATCAACTGACAATTTTAATCAATTTCTTTTAACAAACAATTTTGCAAACATATCTTATTGATTAATGCAAATTTTATTTGATCAAGTCAGATTTCTTGCATTACCATATTTGCTTGAATATTCTTGAATAATACCTAATTTCTTCATTTATTTTTTAGAAACCTGGTTGGCTTACTAAGCAAATCAATCTTGCAATTCAAATGCGTCGTAAATTTCTGCGTATATTGCAAGAGATGGACTCTGCAGCTTTTGAAAAAGTTGGTATATAAAGATATATTTTCCCTTGTTTTTAATTACTCTTTAGAGAAATGATGAAAAAATTTCAGATACTCAAAGAATTAAAAATTGCATATAACGTACCTAAATTGCCTGAACAAATGATTGAAAGACGAAGAAAAGCATGGGCTGAAGCAATGTTAGATATTCGGTTGCATAAATCAAAAGAATCAAAGCTTGCTGAGTTGCATCAACGATATATTAAAGAAAGGCGAACTAATGAGGAGGAGGCATGATGTTTTCTTACGTTAATAAAACTAGAACTATGAAACTAGAACTATATATTAATTATTAGATGAAAAATTTCCAAAGAACTAAAAACTATGTATAATTTACCCTTTTTCATGCATTCATTAATAATTCCTTTTCTTCAGAAAGAAATATTTTATTATTATATGAATCCTAACATTGAGATTTAAGGTTATTGAAAGGTTCTTATTAATAAAAGTCGATGGGATGAGTGTTGTGATTTGTTTATTTTTTATTGTAATTTAGATTTTCAGATGGATGAAAGAGTGCAAAAAGTCAAAGCTGAAATTGAATCTATCGAAAATCGCCTCAAAGCGATTAAACTACTTGAAACAGGTGTTGAAGATAATTTGCCGAAATATCAGCCAAACTTAATCGATTGTGTATCCGAAAGAGCTATGCATGCGGCATTATTTTATCATCCGAAGCCTCTTGTAAAGAATTAATTGTTACTAGTGTCGGGAAAGTGTCTTGTTGATGTGATGAGTCGGAAGGGAAAAGTTTATTCACCGAATTATAGCAAAAATATAATTACAATAGTATTACAAATACAATAGTATTTGGTAAAAATTGAGGATGAAATTAAATTTGTTCAGTAAATTCCGACAGAGACAATTAACTGAGACGAATATTGGGTTAAGTTAAGGAAGATGAATGAATATCGCGTTGAATTTAGATTCGAGAAGAGAAATTGTTTTTTTTTTTTGAAATGCTCGTCGAACGGATTGAGGCTTACATATTGCCCATATGTGGACCGCGTTTACAATATCATGCAGGTTGCATAAAAAATTACATAGAAAATTAACTTTTTATCCAAGAAAAAATTCTATGGAAATTATTTTTCCAAATGTACACCTGTATCTGTGATTTGTAAACCTTTTCATAGCTATATCTGAGATCTGTGAATAAAATAGTTTTTTACAAATTAGCAGATGTATGAATCTTTGTAAAAAAAAACGGTTAATTTTTGTATGATTTGAATATCAAGTAACTAACTCATTATAAGGTAGAGAGTCCTTTATTCTCAGGAAAGTTTTTTTTTAATAATAAATTCTTTAATCTTTAACTGCTTACCGTATTACTATTTCTTTTGATTTTTTCCGGAAACTAGTACATTTAGTTAGTTCTTCAGTTATTTGTTCTTTCTAACTAATAAATTGTTTGATCTTTCCATATTTGTTATTTATTTGTATTCATTTTTTCATTTCATGAAGACAAAAAAAGGAAAAATATTATATAAAAATAAAATATTAGCTTTAATGAGGAAATGTTGCCAGAACGAATTTTTTACTGCGAATTTTTTTGATCTTCCACTTTGTTGTAAACTTTTAAATGAAATCTTGCTGTAACCAGTGTTTCGTAAATGGTTAAAATCTCGAATGTGAAAAAATTCACTTCCTGTTAACAGGCTGTGTATTTTTCTTTAATGCAATCTCTTGTAATTTATTGGATTTTTTGGATTAACGAATAAGAAAGTTTGGTTGTATTTATTATTAGTGCAAACCACATGGTTAATATGAATAGTTAGACTTTTGCGAAGTAAAGTATAAATAATTTGCAAAATGCAATAATTGAAATGATGAAAACCAACATCTCGGCCTCATCTTGGTTTTTTTCTAACAGCTTTCACCCTTACTGGTTAGGCTGGCTCAGCTGTCTACAAAAGCAAGACTTCTCCAAGCTGCTCGGTCTGACACCATCGCTAGTAGTAATGGAAGCCACTCCTTTTTCCATCGTATAAGTCCTTATATCGCTGGTTCCCCTATATTCAAAATCTTTCCTGACAGTATCAGTCCAGGTCTTGACTGGCCCTCCTCGCTTTCGACGCCAACCATCACAGGGTTTAGCGAATAACGAAACTACTGTGGTCTCACTAATAGTGTTAAACGCATCGAACAGATTTTATAAAAGTTAACTCAAGAAAACATGGCATGAAATTAAAGTGCACATGAAACGGCATTTCTGCTGAACGTGCCGCTGAAAATCAGTTGAAAGGAATTGTCACTTTGTAGGTCAAACGAAGTAATTGTTCGCAGTCAATGGCCTTCCATGCGCCGATTTCATGAATAGCTCTTCTCATCGATCGCTGTCGTCAGAAAAAGTTCTGAATGAATATTTACGAGAAGTATCTCGTTTCTTTCGTATTTTTGGTAATTTCGTAAATGAGATGAATTTTTATTTTCCTCAAAATAATTTGCAGTGATAATTGATCATTCATAGCAAAACGGTATTCAATATTACTTAAATCGATAAGGCATTATTGCTTCTCTAAATTACTCTTTTACACAGAGGACGGTTGTCATTTCTAGCCACTTGTTGGTGAACTTTACGTTAGAATGAGACTGTCTTCGCCTAGAAGAGAAGCACTTGGGAGTGCAGAGGCTTCGAAACGCTTAACTGACGAGGCTAGAAACCCTCAGATTGCAAGTTCGAGTACTTCCAATATTGCAGTTTCGCTTTGGCTAAATTAGTTCGGCATTAGCACTGAACATTTATTCTAAGATTTTTTGTGGCGATAATCGTCTCTGACAGATATTTTATATTTCTAAATATTACTGCTTGGTGGAATGGTTCCATATGTTTCCCAGATTTTTCTAGTATAGTTCCTCGTTCAGGCTATTTTTCCTCTTTCCGATATGTTCCGTATTTTCGCATCGTACGTAATCTATTCGATTTTTTAATTTTCGCCTTATGTGGTGATTATTAATTTGGAGGATTTTGAAAGCTAATTTTCTTAACCGCCAAATACTTCAAAGACTTCTTACAGGACTTATATATGTAATGAGAAAATTTGATTGCATAGAAAGGCCATTATCACGACTTTTCTATCGGTATGGTCGATTTGTCGCCTTACATCCACTTCCTTTTATTGTAATACCACTTTTAACCACCGCAGCCTGTGCTATTGGCTTTTTGCATTTGCATCCTATAACTGATGCGGTTTACCTGTTTACACCAACGAATGCACCTAGCAAACGAGAAAGGCTTATTGTTCATAATTTATGGCCGTTGCACGATCATAATTATATTGCTGGTCGAACGGTGACCCAGTCACGTGAGATTCAGGTTAACCATATTCTAATTAACTTATTAAATAAAAATATATACTGTAAAATTTTTATTGAACCAAATTTCATTGGTACCAAAGTTTATATCAGGCTTGGTTTAGAAATTAAAAAACAAAACCTTGCAGGTAATAGCGCTGGCTAGAGATGGAGGCAATATTCTTGTGCCACCGTATTCCGAGGCAACTCATCGTCTGGATTTGTTCATCCAGAACCGAGTTAAAATTCGGTATAAACATCATGTTTATGGATATAGTGACCTTTGTTTGATGTGGAAGACGAGTGGTTGTCCAGGCAATAAGCATATCCACATAGTTAGCGATTTATTTAATCACGGTATCAATATTACTTACCCGATGGTTCGATTTGGAACCACGTTAGTTTACTTGAATTTTAAATAAATTTTTTAATTTTTAAAAATGAACATTTTTTTGAAGATTTGAAGAGGATTTCTTTGAATAATTCACATCTGATAATTTTTTAAACTTTATGAATATCGACTGTCAAAGAAATCAGCGAGAGTCATAAAGCAAGTACAAGTGAATCGCTAGGATTAGCATCACTAGGATTTTTGGATGGAGAGTTAAATTTATTCTGTCAGAGGCAAGCACCGTGCTAGCATAATCTAAGCGATATGCATTCGGCCATAATATCCCCTTTATGGACTTCTAAAAAACGATTATGCGAATGAATTTATTCCCCACCTCCGTCTATTGTTTTTGATTTTTTACCACTTCTTTAGCGACACTTTATTTTATATGCAGAAGTGGCTATATAGGAGGTGCTCTTGGTGGTGTCAGCTTATCTCTTGGACCAAGTAATTCGAGTATTATCGCTGGAGCTCGAGCTTGGTTCATGGTTTATCATTTAAAGTTCTACCCTCATAATATTTCGTATATTTCTGGACTTTGGGAAAAGGTATTTTGCATTTCCATTAAATAATTAATATAATTAATAAAAAAAATTAATAAATAAATAATTAATAAAAATCGAAGACTAAAGAAAAATTAGCACTCAGTGATTAGTTTAAAAATTTCTTTGTTTTTTCTTTTTTGTCCCTTCAAAATTCACGATTTTATATCCCCATATCATTCAAATAATCATTAGTTTTTGGTCAAGTTGAACAGGTCAATTGGTACTTGGACTTTTAAAAGAATTCTGGCAAGAATTTCTGAATTCAGGAATTACAACGCAGATTAGAAAGTTATCCAGTGGATCCTTATATAACATTTACATTTCTTCATTCTCAAACACTTCCTGAAGAACTTCGTCGCAATGCAGATTCGCTTATTCCTCGTTTTGTTATCGCATTTTCAATTCTTGTTGTGTTCTCTATCATTTGCTCTGTGGTCTTCATCAGTGGTACTCTCTATGTAGACTGGGTTCTTTCAAAACCTATTCTTTCACTGCTTGGTGTAATTAATGCTGGAATGGGTATTATTACAGGTATTGGAATCACCAATTTTGTAGGTATATTTTTTTATCTTAGTACGAACAAATACCTTTGATTTAATCTTCCCTTTTTTATCTCTTCTTCATCTAATGACTGACTGAAATTCAGGCGTACCATCGAGTGATATCATTGGCGTAATGCCGTTTCTACTTGTTGCAGTAGGAACTGATAATATGTTTCTAATGGTTGCAGCTGTTCGACATACAAATCGAGCATATCCCGTTTCAAGACGTATTGGTGAATGTATGAGCGATGCTGCCATCTCCATAATGATAACATCACTTACCGATGCTTTTTCATTTGGAGTTGGAGCGTTAACAACGTATTTGTTCTGACATTTAGATACTAGTTTTCTTTGAATTAGATCCTGGATTTTTGAGAGTAGATCGTGAACCTCTGGGTCATAAAAATTTTTTTTTCGCTTTTTCATTCTTTTATTTTTATTTTAAAAATATTTTTTAAAATTTGTTTTAGAATTCCGGCTGTACAGATTTTTTGTATTTATACTTGCGTGTCGATTTCAATTACTTTTTTTTACCAGGTACAAATTTTTTTGCCAGGCATTTTGTTAGGTACTCTTTTACCTTTTCTGAATCTGAATTTTAAATTTTGAGTTTTGATAATTTACTTTCTCAAGAATTATTGATTTCACTATATTATAATTTGTTAAGATCACTTTTTTTTGTGCATTGTTATCATTGGCCACAGAATGGGAAAAGGACCATTTGCACTGTTTATTTCTTCGTCCAACTATTCCAGATTGTGATATCAAGAATGTTTCTTTATGCACTCGGCTTTTCTGGTTAGGATCAAGATCTGATCCTGATCCGAAAAATGTCGCAAAAAATCTTAAAGAAACGGGTGCTATGTTATTTTTTCAAGAATGGTAAGATTTCTTTTATACAAGATAGGTGATAAAAAGAGGTGCTAAATTCTAAATGAGTAAGAAGCTTTGAAGATATTTTGATTTTAAATCATTTAGGTTTGCGCCGGTGCTTATGCAACCTATTATACGGGTCTTGGTTGGCATTTGGTTTGTGATTTATATCGCGATATCTATATATGGATGCATACATCTTAGAGAGGGGTTGGAACCGGTCAATCTTTTGGTCGAAGATTCCTATGCCATACCTCATTATCGTATTCTTGAGAAATATTTTTGGCACTATGGAGCACCTCTTCAGGTTCTTTTTTGTTATTTTTTGATTTCACTGAATAAAAACTTTTAAGATCCATTCATTTCCCATCAAATTCAGGTCATTTTGAACATTCTTCTTCTTTTAACAACTCTCATCATTACTAGTTAGGCTGACTCCTAGGGCTACAAGGTTAAGATGCTTTTAAGCGGCGCGGTCTAATGCCATCGTCGAGTAAAAAAAGCCATTCCTTTTTCCATCGTCTAAGTCTATATATTGCCTATTCACTTCTACGTTCAAAATCTTTTCTAACCGTATCCGTGCAGGTTTTGATTGGTCCATCCCGCTTTGACGTCACCAATCACAAGAAGAAATTTATATCAACTTCTATGACGGGCGACGAAGAACGTGTCCTAACCAGCGAAGGTGACGCTCTTTGATAATTAATGAAAGTGGTATTTGAACAGGGTGATCATGTGATATTTTATCCATTCAACGGATCCCGTACTTCCATAAGTCTGTTGAGTAAAAGGGAAGCAAAAATTTTCGCTGAAACGTCTAGTAGGCTGATTCCTCGATAATTGTGGCCGTAAAAATACTTTAGATAAGAGTGATAAAAGATAGATAGCTTCTTAATATCCTCCATTCTTACTGGCCATATTTATATAGCAAGATGTATAGCCATATGGCAAGATCGAACGAATCACAGCTATATAAATGCGGGCCTTCGTTTTAATGGTAATTTCACGATGGCTCCGTAAAGGTTTCGTCAACCGGAAGAACGTATTTATTATATAGCTGCCGTGATTCCGGTTGTAATCATCTTTTACCTAGCCATTTGTATTAGAGTAGACCCAAGATATTTAAATCGGGCTTTTTCTCATCAGGTAATGAACTTATAAAAAGAGGCATCTTATCAGTTTCTTGCAGATAAAACGAAAAGACTTTACATTGATCCTGAGTCCTATTCTTTAGACTTTACATTGATCGTTGTAGTTGCTGACACATTATTTAGCATTATTTTCATTTCGTCTTAATGTCAGCAAAAAGGACTACATCATCAGGATCATCAGTATTCAAGATCTATGATACGAAGCTCTGGGCTGATTTGGACATTTCTTGAGTGCTGACTGACAAGCGATGTCCATTACCAGTCTGTCGCATAGTTGAATATTATAGGGGAAAGGACACAGCCTTAACGGACATCAGTTCTTATTTCGAAGGAATCCCCATACACACAGATCTGCGTCGACGTATTGACGTACTCTCATAAAAAGCCTTTATGAGTCGAATGGTCTTCTCTGGAACACCGTCGCATTCCATCACCCTCCAAAGCGCTTTTCTATCAATTGAATCAAAGGCAGCTGCAAAGTCGATGAAATACGTGACAGTAGGTTACAAATATCTGAAGCGATGTTCGACATCCTTCTTTACGTGAATATGTGGTCAGCACAACAGCGCTCCGGTTTGAATCCAGCTTGATTAGGGCGCATCCTGCTGTCCCGTATTTCCATAAGTCTGTTGAGTAAAAGGGAAGCAAAAATTTTCGCTGAAACGTCTAGTAGGCTGATTCCTCGATAATTGTGGCAATATGTCCTGTCACCTTTCTTGAGAATTGCTCTGCTCCAATGATGTGGTAATTTCTTTTTTCTATACTAGAGAGTACAATGAAGGTATGTTATGAAGGAAGATGGACAATATTTGAAGAGTTCAGTCCGAAGACCATCTTCTTCCGGAGTCTTATTGGCTTTAAGCTTATGGATAACGGAGATTATTTCTTTTTCTATTGGAGACTTGCAGTTGCAAGCATATGGTTCGGCGAACGTATATAAAGGGCAACAGATGACGCTTCATGGTTAAATTTGGTCTCAAAGAATTCTTTCCATTTTATGAGGCGGTCCTTAATATTCTTAGCCGGCACTCCATTGTCCCTCACCATTTCACTGATCTTTTTCCCCGAGTTGCTTTATGGAGAAGTCGGAACAGTTTCCTATTATCGCCTAATCGAGCAGTCTCCATTCTCAAAGCTATGTCACTCCAATAGTGTTTTATATCCTATCATGCTGCTTTCGTTGCAATTCGTGCTTTGATAACCATTTTCAGATAGCTATACAGTTGCTTTCGACACCCAACATTTTCTATTAACATATCCTACCGTGGAAATGACTGACTTTCGGAGACACTGAGAAACCAGTATTCTGCAGTTCCAGTGATACTGAGTTTTATTTCACTGAACTTCAATAAATGCATTTACTGTCTCCGAATCTTTCGAGATTTTTGAAGGATCTTGGGGATGCCTTTTTTGCGAGTTGTCAATTTTATGCGGATCTTGGTTCGAACCATAACATGGTCAGATCCATGAAGATTGTCCGCGATAGGAACAACTATTTAATACGGGACTCCTCCAACTTTTAAGATCCATTCATTCCTTATCAAATTCAAATTCGAATTTTGAACATTGCACTAGAGTATTATAAGTTTCAAAGATTTTGTTGCATTTTTTCTGGAAAATTATTTTTTCTTATTAATCAAGAAAAAATAGCGAAAATAAAGTGAGAAATATGATGTTTATAAACTATTTAGTGGGAAATAAAAAAGCGAAAAAAAAGCAAATCGAATTTATTGTTTAACCTTCAAAAGCTTATAAGGAAAAGATTATTTTTAGATTGTTGTAAATAATGCTCCTGACCTGCGAAATCCAAATGAACGGGCTCAGATCGTGTCGATGGTAAAAGCATTCGCCAATACAAAGCATTCAATTGGTGAGAATTACCATTTGACCGTGTGCTGGATTATCTAAAATTTATCTTTTACTTCAATAAATTTCCAAATTTTTAAATTTCTGAAAAGTGCTTGTGATTAATATTTAGGCGATGACAGTGTCCAGTTTTGGCTGAAAGAGATGGAAATATATTATAAAGATCTGGGAGCTGAAATAATAGATTCAGCAATCTATGGCATGGCTGAACATTTTATGTCTGCTAAATCGCATGATATCTGGATAGAAGATGTTATCTGGAAGAGGGATATCGATGGAATTAATAAAATTAGTGCTTTCCGGTAAATTCTTTTTTATATTCAATTTAATTTTTTTCAATTTTTCTATTCAATTTTTGCTGAAATCTTTTTTCATGCCATAAACCTTTTTTTTAAACTGGTGAAATCTCTGGGTCTCTTCATGAGACTTTTGGTTCCTTTTTCATCTCCTGTGAATTCGAAAATCCACTAGAGATTCATGGATGCCAGGTTAAAAGCCTTTGCACTGTTTATATTTATTATTTCATCTAGTTTAATACTTTTCTTCACCTTTAATATTTTTAATCATTAAAAAGCGCGTTTTCTCTTGCTTAAGTTCGATGGTGCACCATTGTACAAGTATTGTTTTGCATCGACAATCTTGTGATATCGGGTTTGTTAGCTTATTTTTTGGTCCCTCCACACCGCTTCTTAACTTGAGCTACCGCTGTCTAATTCTGTGGATTCTAAAAAATTATATCGACGGAAAATTCTTAATTTTTGGAGTCAGTAAATAATGCCAATAATTTCGATTTAAAAAATTGTCAGATCACTTCAGACACTATTCGCATGAAATTATTCCAAAAGTTCAAAAGTGATGCACTCTTCATGCAAGAATGTAATCGACATCCCAATTGGCTGGTGACGACAAACAAAAGTCGACCAATACGCTTCATTCAGCAAAAGTTGGAATCCAACAGAAAATAGAACGTTAATTAATAGAACGTATCAAAAATGGAAATATTCAAACAGCGAAATACGGTTCGTCACATCTCGAAATTTCCATTCCCACGCTGGTTTTATAGAGAAATACAAAATACAAAATATTTATCGCAAATGACAAATGCATTTAATGTAAATATTTGGTTACGAAGGAAGATTTCATCATTTGGGAAAGCAATAAAGTCTCCAAATTTTAGAAGAGAACTCAACTAATCATGGTCGATGAAATAAAATTGCGGTTAATAATGTTAATTCGCTCTAGAAATGGTAAATGGTATCTCATATATTCACTAGACAAGCCGATATGCCTCAAATCCACTCGACATTGGTTCAAATATTACATCCAGGGAGTCTTGGAAAGTCATCTCCAAAGTTGAAAAATATTAGTAGTTATTTAACAAATGTTAGTGGGCATCTTAATAAGGAGTCCTTTTCTTGAAGAAGAAAAATATGGCAGGTGCTATGTTACGAAGGAAAAGTGCCAGAAATGAGAAACCTCGAGATGTACGGTTAAATTTTCACAATGCAGAAACTCGGATAACATACCATCGTAACAAATTTAACGTAACTAAATTCTTCCTCGAACATAAATGTTTTCAACATTTCGAAATGTTTTTGATTTGATTCGTTATCTATTGATTGAATACTGTTCTAAAGTAAAAGTTCGACTTCAATTAGACTCATTTGTAAATCACTGGGATTGGTACCATATATAATGTTGCAAAGCCGAATTGAATAGTTCATGAGTGAAATTCTCAGCGGGCCGTACCAAAAGTCCTAAAAGAAAACCTCGCCAGCAGAAGGTCGCGTTATCGCAACTACCACACTGACGATATTCTAACATGCTTAATGATGTGATTTGGATACTGCCATGAAACGATCATAAAGGCAATAGCTGATAATGGAAAGGGATTCACCCTTTTTATTAAATTGGAATGATAAAGTTCTACGCGAATTTCATAAACATCATAGCAGTCTCTCTACTGTTGGTGTATGGCCTTATGTTCGCAAATCGCAAAGGAAATCGTAACATTAGCTGTGATCCATTCGAAAATTATGGCTTAACTCCACAATAGAAATCCAGGAGTCGCAAGGATGTGGGTCCTTAAGTTTACTAGTTATTTCTCGATAAAAATATAGGAAAATTGTAAAAGGTTGCGTGAAATGCCAATTAACAGCTAAATTTCTCGGTAGAATAGCCAAATAATTGGCCGTATATACAACGTCTAATTGTTAATGCTTTCTCTCTCTAGCCGCTGAAATATATCAAATGAATCAAACAGTTTCACTTCTACGATAAATCTTTTCGCGTTATATAATTATAACTTTGATAACGGGGCACGTGACACGTGAATTTCGAAAATTCTATTACAAAAATGGTATCAATCTTACTAGTCTCCAGTGGTCAAGCGTTTCGCAACATTGAAAAGATGACGTGCCAGGATGATTGGGAAAAGGATGGTATTAGAAAATTTGCAAATTTTAAATATAGTTAAATATAAATATAGATACCGTTATTTGCTTGTGGTCGTATCATTTTTAATTCGTACAGTCCCAGAAATAATCAAAATAATTCATGGTCGAAAGTCATGGGGATAAAATGTTAAGTGTTAGCGACTCTAGCTACTTTCCACTCTTCGGATAGTGATATAGTTATGTACTACTGCTGCCACAATATATTTTATTATGATATTTGCACCACTTGACATAATCCATTAAGTTTTTCTTTAGGTTCGTTATTGGTATGAAGCATATTGCGAAAACATATCAACAAGAAGAAGCCACACGTATAATGCGTGAACTTGCAGCCAGTTACTCTCGTTATAATCTCACAACATTCATGCCGCTCTGGTTGTTTACAGATCAATATGCTATCGTTATTCCAAATACTGTACAAAACATTGGTACGTTGATTTTAGACATGTTATCATAATGGCTAAAGTTTTAACAACTAAGCGAAAGCAATTTATTCCTTGCATCACTCTTCAATGAAAGTTGTGAATTCCTGTTATTTATTCAATGCGTTATTCTTTTAAAAGTAAATGGTTAAGAGAAAAGATAAAAACATTTATCATTTATCAAAGAAGATTTATCACTGTCTGTGATGAATATTTTTTCAGTGATCGCATTACTTGTTATGATAATAATTGCTATATTATTAATTCCACAACCTTTATGTTCACTGTGGGTCGCATTAGCAATTGCATCAATCGATCTTGGCGTTATTGGATTTATGACACTTTGGGGAGTTAATCTGATAAGTTTTTTTGTTTGTTCACCATTATACTGGTTAAAGAGCAAGGTGGTCGAGTCGTTTCTACTTTCGACTAAATTCCAGCTATCATAGATTCGATTCTTGAACGCGAGTAAATCTGCTATATGATTAAAGTTCGAGCGATGATCTATATCCAAGTCCACTTTTATTCCCAAGTGGCTTTTAGCAAATGTGTTTCATTCTAGTTGTTAGTGAAGCCATCCAAAGCTGAAATGGCTGGTGAAGACTTATACTGGCTGCAGTTGTTGCATATTGCGTGCTCTGGCTATGTAAACTACTCCATATCTTGAGGCTTGACGTTAACTTCTTTTTAACAAACCTCACCACTGTGATTAGTTGGCTAGAACGATAGGGTTGCAGTTGCCATCCAATCCAGTGTCATACCTCATATTAACATAAGTCACTCCTTTTTCTATCTTCTAAGTCCTTATATCGCTGAATTACCTATAAATTCAAAATCTCTCTTGACCATAGTGGTTCGGATCTTGAATGGTCACTTTCATCGCAGTGTTTAGCTAATGCCGCGGTATATCAATTTTTAAGCGACGAAGGATATTACTAACGAAGCGAAGCTGACTCTCTGTGGTGATATTGTTAATGCAAATGATAGCCAAGATTAATGCAATCTTGTAAGATTCGCTCGTCACAACCTATAGCTACATTAGAAGATCGTTTCTACTTCAGCAGGATATATGCGAAAAAAAGTTTGATGGTGATTTCGGCAGAGGCGTTATCAGGTTTTTCTAGCTTATCCAGATCTCTTGTTTGGTATATGAGTGAATATTTAAAGTCTGATATTTCCTCAGCCTTAATCATTTCATAGTAACAGGATTTTAGATTGTCAGTAGGTTTGATAATTTCAAAAATCATGTTAATTTGATTTTTTATTCTTCAAAGTTTTTTTAAAACTTTAAAATGCTTTAAAATTATCAAAATTATTTGATATATATTAAGTCTTTTCAGGATGCGATTTCAATGATAACAATAATAATGTCAATCGGTTTTTCCGTCGATTATTCGGCTCATATAACTTATGGATATGTGATATCAGATGAGATATTACCAAAAGAACGAGTACGTCGTGCACTTGCTGCACTTGGTTGGCCGTTAACTCAAGGAGCAGCATCAACGATACTTGCTGTCGTTGTACTGGCTGATGTTCCTGCTTATATGATTGTTACGTTTTTTAAGGTATTTTTTATATTTTCTAAATCGCAATATATATTCGAGCCAATGAAAGAACAAAGCGATCCATAAAAAAGATGGCAATGGATTTATTATTTAAGCATATCAGGCATATTCCTAAGTATATCAGTTTTAATCATCAACATCTATATTTGATTATTGTTAAATCCATAATAAAATGTAGCGATCGAATGGTGTGTTGCTTCAATTGATGTCGAAGCATCATTAGTTCGATCTGTGCTCCTTGATAAGAACTCATGGACTCATGATTAAAAATGAAATCCGGGTGTTGCCCCTACGTGCACTTCTGACTCTTTGGGGAAGGAGTGCCATGTTAATAGCCAATAAAGCCAGTCAAACCAGAATTGATTGGCGTTAAAAGGAGTTCACCCCTATTTTGCCAAAGATATCGTAAATTCAATGTTTAGTTTTTTTTAAGCATAATTTTTTATTAACCACAGTCCATATTGTTCTGTTGTACCTGCAGATTAAATAATTTCAGACAGTTTTTCTCTCAATAGCTCTTGGCCTTGTGCATGGTCTCATTTTCCTACCAGTTATGCTTTCATTGTTCGTTCGAGGATCTTATATTATAGGCGTCAAAACATCGACTAAGGTAGCAGTTTCAGTTTTTCCTGTTTTATTGTCTTGAATCTGTGGTTTTAATGTCATTATTTTTTGCTAATATTTATATTTACGCTTGTTAACTTTTGGGGAAATAAAAGATTTCTTAGGCGAAACAAGGAATTTATCCAATTATAAGTTTTCCAACAATTAAGCATATCTTTTTAATGATGGTTAATTTGTATTATTTTATCTCATTAATAGGTTGGAGACGCCACTGAAAAAATCCAAAAGAATCACAAAAATATAAAAAATGTGGCTGTTGATGACGATATACAACCATATGGCCGATATGCTATATATCTGTCGCGCATGAGTTCGCTAGAGATGCCTGGTATTAAATCTATGGAAAGCAATGTTCAGTCAAAACCGTTGCGATCACAAAAAGCTCGGCATGTTGATGTAGGCAGTCCGTCAACTAATTTCGTATAATTTTTAATTACTCAGAACATTCATTTATACGGTTGAAAATAAGGGAATGTGAGCATTCGCGGTGATTAATCTTTGTTAAAATTGGTAAAGTAATACCCATTGTTATTAATATATGTTTATTTTATAACAACTGCTTTATGATTATTGCTTTGCGAATTTTATGAGTTATTATTTCTTTTGTTTTGATTATTGCAAACATAGATAATTATAAGCAGATCTCATCTCATTTTTGTAGATTTTAGATAATATTAATCTGATTGGAAAAAAACAAATTTTCTTTAATTTGTCTATTTAGCAATTTCCGAGCAAAATATTCTACAACATTATACATTCGTAAATGAGTCACAAACATAGATCCGATATTCACGAAACGTGAATTGAGGTGAGTGCTAATCAGTGCAATACCTCCCCAAGAAATCCTCATTGGGTGTATTCACCAAATCAGCCGAGTATTTTCATATGTGTTAATGGTGCTTTGACCGAAGAAATATGTTAATAAGTAAAATAAGTTGGCCCTCACTTAAGATAAATCTTCCAAACGTATTCACCAAATTTGCTGGCTTCAATGAACTTTAAATTTAACAATAGCAATTTTACGTTTTAATCATAATCAATCAATATTTATAATTATATTTGCTTGTAAAAATTTTTTATTCGTTCTATTTTATTGACTTATGAATCGTTTTCAATTATTTCAGGCTTATTTTGCTAGGATTTTTATTCATATTTTTTTGATATCGTTCAAATCGGTTTTCATACTAATGAATTTGATTAAAGGTCGATTATTTATTACAGTAACTTGTCTGACTTGCCTTAGGTGAATTTATAGCTTCAGTTAGTGTCCTTTCAGATGCTAAAAGTGGGATGCGATGCAGATGTTGCTGGGAAACCATAGTATTTCTGTCCCGAAGCGTTCTCTGCTAAAAATTATTTTGATCTATTTCTATTTTGAAATTCATTTTATTCTATTTTTATTATCGAAAATCTATTTTAAAAGATAAAGAGATTTTTTTCTTCCCAAAAAATGATGGAGAATGGATGAAGCAGACAATATGGAATTCAATAATAGGTTTATAATTAATCCCTTTGGAATTTTTTCAGCCATAAAACGAAATAATCATTTGTCGATGATGGGTCGCAGCAACCGTCGCATACTTCTATGCATTCAACAGTATTTTCCTTTTCATCTATATGCATATTATATTTATTACAAATACAGTTCTCGAGGGTCAAGGTTCGAACTCTGGAGGGACAAACCTGTTATTGAATACTTAGAGTACTCACTTGTATTTTATCCTTAAGCGAATTTTAGGCAAAACTTTATCGCAATACTTATGAACAGTGGAGCGAGTCGATAAATTATAAATTTTTATTTTCTATGTTCACCAATTCTTCCATCTGTTTTTTTAAAAAAATGAAATCGTATACCTCATTGTTTCTTTATACTTACCTCAAATATAAAAATGGCAATATGAGAGAGCGAACTAAAGATGCCGGGGAATGGGACCATCTCGCGACAATATGAAACTGCTGGATGATACCGGGAGAATGGTGGTGATCTCTAGGGAAGACGTTGAATAAAAAATAATTTCATGATAAAAATATATGTAAAATGATTAAGTGTGTATTATAAATCATAATCAGTTAGCGAATGTTTTTACTGAAACATAGGAAAGTATGTCAGTAAATGTTCGTCAAAAATTCATCTTAGCTGAATTAATTACTTTTTTTCTACACCTATCACTTTTCTGTGATTATTCAGTGGTTTGCTAATTTTATATGATAGAGAAGTAACCCTAATGAATGCTTGTAAATAAAAAGTGTTGTTCTTCCTGTCACCACTTTTTAAATTTTTAAATTGACTCAACATTTTTCTCTTTGCTTTAGATCTTTATCCGATTCGATTTGTTGATTTGCAATTTGTTGTTCTGATACGATTTGATACCGATATAATAAATCTTTTAATAAGAGCAAAGCAGCCTCTATGAATGAGGTTATTCTATTCTTGTATGTAATGACAGCTGGAGATCTCTGAACCATCCTGCTAATTATCCACCTGTTGCTGCTATTCGATTTTACCAGTATTTCTAGATAACATATTCAGATTTCAATAAATAAATCATCATTGATTGAAGAGAATAGTTTAAACTCACAAATGAAACAAATTTTATTCGCATAATAAAAAATCTATGGAACTAACGGTCGGTAGAATTTTTTAAAAAATCTGTACCAATGGAGCTGCCAAAATTTCTGTTGCATTCAGCGATATTTCAATGCTTCGTTCGGTTGACAATTAAAGTTCGACAAATTCCTTTTGTTGAACAGTCTAATTATTGGATTGGTGGTTGATATTAACTGAAGAAATTTTGGATAGACACTGAAAATATTTGTCGCCAAGAAACAAACTGAAGAACAATGGATGATTCTCTGCAAACTGCAAGTCTTCAAAAATGCAATAAATACTTATTTTCTCATATTTTCTCTCTCGCAAAACCGATAAGATTAGGTGATTTAATTTTCGAATTTTAATTATTTCAAAAAAAAAACAATGAGATTAAGTATTTATGTTGCAATTTCATTAAATTTTCACTTTCATAGTTTTTAGTGAAAGAAGAAACATCATCGAAACATTAGAGCACTGCAGTATCTACGAATGTATTTAAGATTAACATCAGTGATCAGTGATTATTTCGGTGAGAATGTTTTCCGGGCTGCGGGTCCGAGAAGAAATCTATAATGAAAGCATAGCCACCTGTCCTTCAGTGTGACTCTCCTATGAAATTACCATCCTCCTAATCGCCAATGAAATAAGTCACTTATTTGCTTACTTCCTTCAGCGACATTTGTAGAGCTATCACGCAAGCCATAAAAAATCAAAACCCCTAAAAATATAAGCGAAACTAATAGAAAACGAATAAAGATGCAACAATGACTGACAACGACTGACGGTCAACTTAATTGATTACTGTATGATTTATAATTGCAAATTTAATTGGCGAAACTGATTACTTGCTTGCACCACAAATATTTCTGAGAAATGTAGGCAAACATGCGTGCAACGCATTTAAAATTTTATCGGTCCATTTTTATTGATTTCGTTGATTTTCCAAATCGTTTCAAACGTTTTTACTTTTATATTGATCATTTATATTTCATTTTCTACTTTGCTGGCCACAGTAGCGGATTAGATTACCGCAAATTGCTGGTGATGGCGGTTTGCGCGAGCTTGTCTGGGGACTCCTAAGCCATTGGCCTTTTGAAAATGGTGCGTCGGCAAGAAAGTATAGGGCTGCATACGACTGATGCCTGCAAAAACAAGACTTACTTTAGTGATACACCTCCTTCTATTTCTATCTTAAACTGGCTTCGCTGGTTATTAGGTATTTCACAGGTAGTCATTTGCTACTGGTGAGTTTCTAGCACCATTCAGATTTTATTGATTTCATTGATAGGCCTACTTACTTAAAGGAATAGAAAATGAACTTGATCCAAGTCGAAGTCGAATTAATGTAACCGTCATTCACTTATTCGAATTTCGGAGTGTTTTCAGTCGAATAAGAATCCCTACACTACACTACTATATATCCCTATTATATCCCTACAATATAAAGAAGATTCCTGTGCTTTATGAAGCAGCAATTGAAAAGGATTCATGAGAGCCCAGGAAAAGCTTTCTGATTAGTCTGGGAAGAGCTAGCGAATGAAGTTGCGCACTTCTATCGCTCAACTAAAGGTATTTGAGTTGATTATGTTTATAAAAAAGTGGAGAATAGCATAAATAATTTGAATGTTGTCCCATGCATGAAAGAGTTTTCAGATGGTTTTCTTCATTTTTTTTGCTTAGTTTAAAGTAAAATTTTATTATTTAAGATTACGTTGAAAAACTCGAAAGGCTTCAATAAAAATTCTTTAAAATTTTTTTATTTAAAATCTTTTTTATTTCACGGCGATTGCATTTTAAGCCAAAAGATTCGCTTTATTCGCTTTAAATCGATTTAATTTACTTTTTGTGGTTAACTTTCCTTAACTTTTCAATAATTTTATGGCTAATAATGGCCTTTTTGCAAATTTAATTGTGCATCGGAGCTGTTTAGTATATTTTAAGATACTTAGTATAGTAATTTGCAAGCAAACACCAAATATTTTATTTAATGCACAATAAAATTTGTTTATAGAAATTTAATGAAAAAAGAACTAATTTCATTATTACGATTATAAGTAATCTTAATTGATGGTGGTTTTTGGCGACTCTTTTCAAATATCAACACGACAATAAATGATAACTCGGACGAACCCATTTTTTATCCCGTTTTGTGGAAAATATGGTAGTAATCAATGGGTATAAAATGGCTCAGTTGGTTGTTGTTCAATTGGGAGTGCTGATGCTGAGGTTCCTCGCAGGAGTAAATTTTACAAAAATCTGGGTGATGCTGACGACTCACCTGTATTTCTACCGCCAATGGACTCCCTGGCGTATTGCCCAATGCGACAAACCAGTGGAGCAAGTTTTAACAGTAATGGTGAGGACTTAAAAAAAAAAAATCAATGGAACTAGCCAAACCAGAAATACAGAACATTATTAGAATGATTTGATGGAATCATTGGTAAAACGTTAGTCTTGAAATAATTAACAAAAGTTTATTTTGAGGAGAGTTCCTTAAAATCCTCCTCCTAAAATATTTTTAAAAATCCATGAAGGAATATGCCAATTTGAACAATTGTTGGTTTTTTAATTTCAGAACTTTTTAAAACTTTAAATTAAGTCCCATTTCCATTTTAATTTCTGGATTAATCAAATAATTACTAGAAAACTTTGCAACAAGTTATTGATTAAGCGACAAGTAGTGTTATCATCGAATTATCGAGTTTCGTTTACTTTGTAATTAAAATAATATTTGCTAAATATGAGCATTTCAAAACGAATACATTTATAACTTTAAGGCATTTCATTTCTTAATTTCATTATAATTGAAGTATTTCTATTTTTTAACTTCATATTT